GCGGTATGGGACGGCTGTTTTGCCTAGCGACCGGCCACGTCAGATAGGGGCTAGTGCGTCCGGTATAAACGAAGCCCCGAGCCAGTTCCAACCAGACTCGTCCCCTTCCCATGCCCTTGCCCCTTTGCCTCCCTTCTCTTCTCCTCCCTCCCAGATGCAATATTGAGAGGAGCACCAAGAAAAGCAGCATGCTACTGGAGCTTCCATCTACAACCTTTAACACATATGCTCTCTGTCCAACTGTCTAAACACAAGATTTTCACTCTCTTCGTTCTTGTCCAAACATCATCATGTACATCCTTAATTAGTTGTTGCTGGAGAGGTGTGCCTGGTTTATCCAACCACTTGAAGAACAAGCATCCACCAATGCCTCCAATCTTGCAACAAAACAAAGTGGGGTATTCTTTAGAGAACAGAAACTACCAATCAATGGTTGCACTTGTGATATATCCATTCCTGTATTGTAATCGCTCCACGAAATCCAGCAAGGCATCTTCACATCGCACTCACACTTGAGAATCGGCTTGTACTCGTATAGCGGGAAATTGAAAGACCCAAATGACAGTGGTCCCGCCTCATTGAAAAACCCGCGACAAGCATGTGCTTCCTGTGATCATAATCACCATGGTGTGTGGAGGGGAGGAGGAGCAGAAAACCTAGTGGCGTTGGAGGAAGAAAGGAGAAGCACCGGCGGCGCAAGAAAGCAGAAGAAGTGGCGACTCGTTTGCTTGGAACCGGCTCAGGGGCTCGTTTTAAACCATATGCATTAGCCCTGTCCGATGTGGCTAGTTGGTGGGCTCAACCTAGGCGCCAAGTAAGCAAAACAGCCGTCCCATACCGCTCAAGTGGAGGCTGGGGAGTGATTTGTCCGGTTTAAGATAGTTTAGGGGATTAAGAACCTGGTTTTAAAGATGAGGTGATTATGTGATCCAAATTGGATAGTCCTGGGGGTTATATATACATTTTTCAAGTTATTCTTTAGAAAACCAGGTAAATAAAAAAGCTAGGATATGCATGCCATGGATATTACCCAACTTAGAATAGGGTTTAGGGTGTAGGCTTAAGGAGTTGGCTTTAATAAAATTAGAACCAAATCCTCAGGCCTAGAGCTGATAACCTATTGTCTTATTATGAGATTTTTCATCATTAGCAAAATATAATTTTTCCTGTCAAAGGTATAGAGTGCCTCGGTATTAGTGAGTGAAAAATTTCCTATTCTTGTAGGATTCAGTATCCCATGTCATCTAAATGCTGCATTTTTAGAATCTTGTGAACCAAAGCGTCCCCAAGAAACATGTAAATGTTTACTAGCTCAGAGATACGACTATCCTAGCCAAATTTTCCGTACAACCATCAGTGATGTGTCAACCCGTCATCACACAATTATTGTTAGATATACGACATGCAATGGAGAACGGAGAAGATCAAATCAACACAAAGGGACACAAGATTTTAACATGGAAAAACCCTCCAATGTGAAGGGAAAAAACACAAGAGACAGTCAGAGAAACTTTATTATATCGGTAGAGGTTACAAACATTGGGGATTTACAATGATGAAGTTATCCCGTGCGGCGGCTTACAAAGGATATATATTCTAGCGGTTACCTAGGCTAATATTGATCCATACCTCCCATCTCCTCTATGGTTCAAGCCTCCCGGCGACAGGTCTCCGCTCCGCTCCGACAGAAGTTATCCTTTATATAAATTTGGATCACAACTTAAAACTTACCACATACATGTTTCTATCCAATCAATCTGAGACGTGTGTCATTTCTAACATATTCGGCCACTCGTCAACAATGATCCATCAATGATAGCCTAGTGTATTTCCTTCAAAAATTGATAGCCCAGTGTGTAGACTATTACTAACTTGTTAAGGCATAGCCTAGTGGTGGAAAGGGACCGACGCCTTCCCACCAAGCCAGGTTCAAGGATGGTACCTGCAATATGGTTTGTTGCACCAATTATATTATAGGGGGCTTCCTTACTTACTCCCCTCCCTCCCCCCGTGGTTCTTTTCACTCTGCATATAAAATTTGTTTGAAGACAAACTACACGAAGTTTTTATATAGAAAATATGAACATGTATAATACTAAAACTACATAGTATGAAAATACATTTCATGATGCATCTGACAATATAGATTTCATATTGAGAGTGTTGAATTTTTTAATATAAAGTTAGTCAAACTTTTAAAGCTTGACTTTGACTATTTTTTATATGTAGACTAAAAGGAAAAGTGGGAGTATAACTCATGTACAAAACACATGCTCATTTTTGTTGGCAAACAAAACATGTTTATCATGACTAGCAGTATGAATTGTTTTTTGCATGAGGATAACACAAACTACCAAATCAACAGGAGGACACGTTTTTCCATTTCATCGGTCCATATCCTATAAACCTAAGAGAGTCATCTCGACTAGCTTAATTATTAATCTCAACATGCAAGCGTGCCACCTCACCATACAAGTATGACTGGGATAAGGCCCATCTCAACATGCAATCATGCAAGGGAAAAGACCCACCACAACATTCACCCATGAATGGAAAAATGTTTTCGATTTAATATTCTACTTATATTTAGTAAACATTGTTACAAGTATACATAATCAAATATAATAAGTCATATGCATTTTAAATTTTGGTTCTCATGTTATCAACCCAGTTTTCATCAACCAATTCCCGTAGAAACGCGTGAGGTATCCTCTAGTTAATGAAGTGCTACTAACAAAGTGCAATCAATGGACTTGCTAGGTTTTGGAGGACTCGAACATGGTGCATCAGATCGGCACATCTTTCTGGGAGCTTCACTTACCATCGTTCCCGGCATGCTCGAAATCAGAGGAGCCATGCTCCAACCCATCATTAGCAAACGAAACCAGCGAGGCTGGCATCATGTTGGAAGACCTCGATCACAACGCCATTGAGGGGATGATCTCTGAGCTAAGGGAGGTCGAGTGCCTCTCTGACGTCAACCTTGAGTGCGTCACAAAGGAGATGGATGAGTTCCAATTCCTCCTCGAGGGGCTGGACAGTTGTGCTCTCGAGGACAACTGGGTCATGGACAGGTCCTTTGAGTTCATTTCTTCCCCGCAAACGGTGTCGTCTATGGACTACCCATGCACGGAAGATGTGATCGTCACTTTAAGTAGCTCCGTTCAAGGTACTCGACCATCCTGTTTTATAGCCTGGAGGAGGTCACTGGAGTTGAAAGATATGGTTGTGCGGGTCACCGACACCGAGGAGTCACAGAAGTTGCTAAAGAAAATTGTGGCTGGCGGTGCATGGACGAACAATGGTGATGGTGGCAGTATGGCAAGAGATCGGGAAAGTAACATCAAGAACCATGTCATATCAGAGAGAAGGCGTCGCGAGAGGCTCAACGAGATGTTCATGGTTCTCAAGTCACTCGTCCCATCCATTCACAAGGTAGTAATATTAAATATGGTATTCCTCGGCCGCCGTATAGAAATATTCAGTTTTATTTATTATATTCCCTTCTAAAAGAATTTTTAGTTATCTTGCACACATTTCTTTTTAGCGAATTGCACCATTTGTTTTTCATACAGTAGCTTTTATTTCTGGATCATTGTTAATTGCAGGTGGACAAAGCATCAATCCTCCTACAAACGATAGCTTATCTCAAGGAGCTGGAGCAAAGGGTAAAAGAGCTAGAATCCAACAGAGCAACAATAGAATGGAGGCTCCATGATGTCGTAGGCGGGAAGAAGAATGTCTCAGTTGGATCCAAGAGGAAGGCATTGGAAAGGGAGCATAATGATGGCCAGAGCAACATCGTCAATGTGACCGAGATGTAGGGATTATCTGTGTCCTACAACTATTTAATCCCATTTGGAAATAGTTATTCACTATATATGGAACTATTGTTGATGGAGCTATAACTTGAGGAATCTATACATACTCATGGTGTACTTGAGTAAATACTTAATGAAGATTATTGGAATACGGTATCAAAGAATATACAGGAAAAATCACCCGAGTACAAGTACTAATTGGAAGGAGCTAGGTTTATTGTCAGACTACAGCCCTGATGAAAATTAACCTACATAAGTAAATTGATATTTAATTATTACACATGACTCACACATGTGTGTTCGAGGACGAAAGCAACATTGTCCAATTACAGATGGATTATATTATGGTTGTTAATCTTATCTGGATTATGTTTAAAACACAAGTTTAAACAACTTGAAAAGTCACATTTGTAAAACACACGTGATCTTAGAAAATAGGAGCACAAGGCTAGTCGTAGTGGGGAGTAACTTAGACTAGTGTCATGTATATGATACTAATCAATGTTACTACATTCATAGTGCAAAGTATCATGATCGATGCATTTATTAGGTCGTAGACTCACTTTGCATTAGGTTGCGTTATGTTATGGTGCATATTTAGAGCAAGTACAATAAGTTGATGTAAATGGACTATGAGGATTTAGATATTGTGTTTTGCTGAATTGGAAGAGAGGGAGATAAAGAAGTTGGATGTAGATTTACAACCGGATGTAGCACGGGCTCCAAGAAGTTTTGTAAGCATGGAAGGTGGGTCATATGTTAGTAAAGTAACACTTGTAGCTAATTGCGATACATGTTAGCTATTACATTGAATATAGATGACATGGAAACATGATATAGACAAAAACCGGCTATATTACTAACCATGCTCTTATGTTACCATAAACACCTCTCTCATCATTACCTACTTGCCACATTAGCAAACTTACCTTGAGGTGTGTTATGTTACTAGTTAAGCTACTTCCACTATGTCTAGCCTAAGTAGGTTTCACCCTCTAGCCTCAATATGCATTGTCGGCGGCACCACCAGTAAAAACTTAAGATAGAAGAATAGAGGGTAGGCCGAAATCAAAAGTTCTTACATTGATATCAGCAAAGGTTTTGGTCGCGGTTTAACCAAGTCCATACCAAACTCTGTTGTCACCACTAGTGACCAACTTTGATGCATCCGCGGCAAACATTGCAATCAAAAATAGTTCACAAGAAAACAATTTTTTTTGAGAACTTTTATTTTTCAGTGAAAATTGTATTGCCATGGAAGTACTTTTATGTTGCCACGGTAGCAGATTTTGTTGTCATGGCGGTTGTTTTCTATAAACTTTCAAAACTTAATAAAACTAACAACTTATAAATAAAAGGGATAGAGAGAATTGATCAAAACTTCAGAATTTTGTACTTTTGAAAAGAATTTGATAACCAAGGTGATCAGGCCTAATTAACAAACAATTTCAAATTTACAATACTGGCAAACTTCAAACAACACTTATGTTTCCTCAACTTGGATAGGAAAGGTTCCAATCATAAGAGTTTGATATTTCCTTTTAGACGGAATAATGGGCAGTTCAAATTCATCAATAATGATAGTTATAATTTTTGCATCCTTTTGGGAACCATTCCTTTTATCAAACTTCTTCAAAAAATAAGCAGTATGCTATTCCCATTAACATGAAAGTAACCATGTTTTTGTTAGGATCAATGATAACCCTTGCGGTATTAACAAAAGGTCTCCCAAGAGTGACATATAGGTTGTTATCCTCAGGCATCTCAACTCTCAAGTACAACAAAGTTTGTTAAAGATCAAAACATTAGCAACCATAAAAGGTACATTGTCACATATGCTTATAGTTATAGCAGTAGTCTTATCAGATATTTGCGAAGATATATCAGTAGGCGTAAGTTTATCAAGTTAAACCTTTTATAAAGAGAAAAAGGCATAACACTAACACATGCACCTAAATCACATAAAGCAAACTTAGCATAATAAGTATTAGTAATGGTGCATGGTATGGTAGGTATTCCTTGATCTCCAAGTTTTCCAGTAATATTTTCTTCAAGAGAATAATTTGTAAGCATTGTAGATGTCCCCGGTATTTGAAATCTTCCTCTTAATAGTAACAATATGTTTCATATACTTGGAATAAGGAGGAACTTTAATAGAATCGGTCAAAGGAATTTGCATGTAGAGAGAACTAAGCAAATCAACAAACCTAGCAAAATGTTCATGTCTTTAGTTTTAGAAAGCTCATTACGAAAACACACAAGTTTTGAACAAATGGCTCTCTTTATTTACCATAATTCCTAGCTTCTTTATTTCTCTTACCATGTTTCTTAATTTGAACATGAACATCTTCCTCTATAGCAGATTGTACTTCTCCTTCATTTTCCTTATCAGACTCTATAACATCATCATTCTTATCATCTTGTTGAGAGAGTTCTTGTTCATCCCCACTCCGAATCTCAACATCAGAAATAGAAACATTATTAGGATTCTCTTGAGTTTCATTAACAATATGAGGTTCCCGAGAACTATCATAAGCAGGTTCAACCTGTTTAGACTTATTTTCCTTTTTCTTTCTAGATGAACGAGAAACATTGCTATCAATATTTTGAGAATCTTTTTTCTATTCTTTTAGGGTGTCCATTAGGATATAGAGGTTCTTGAGTATGGGCACCTCCTTTAGTACAAACATAAGCATCATATTTCTCAGCAGATTTAGCCATATCACGTAATAAATCTTGAGCACTCAGCACTTGTTTAAGTTGAACCTGTATCATTCTGGGCACCACCGCCAAAGATGGAGGGAAGCGATCAAGTAGAACTAGGAGATTCTCAAGGGTGCGGGGAGGAGAGAGAAAGAAGAAAAATGTGGAGAGGAGACTGGGAAAGAATCAGGTGCCCCAAAGTCTCGTATGCTCCCATGCTCCAACGTTCAAAAACTCAAATTTGAACGTTTCAAAAAGTCCAGAAAAAAGTGGACGCTCACAAGACATATATGTCTACATCCCCTAAATAGTTCATGTTCAAATTCGAAATGCACACAGAGAACAAAAGTAACAAATCCAGCATGAATAGTGTCAAAAAAAAGACAAGAAAAAACATTATTCACATATAGATTTGTCTTCTTTTGTTTCCTGGTGTGTGTTTTGATTTTAGATTTGAAATATATGGGAATAACAGAACATTCACAAAAAAAACCCAGAATTTTTTGACGAGCAAGATATTCTCCCTAGGAGACTCTCAAGGGTACAAGGAGGAGAGAAAAGGAGAAGGAAAATGAGGCCCATGCAGTTTCTTTTTCTTGGACTACTCCTTCAGCGTCATTTTGACAACATATACATAAAGAAGTTTGACTTACGATAAAGCTACAACTTTAAATAATTTCAACAAACTGAGTAGATGGATAGAGACAAGTGATAGGTACCACTTGGACATTGACCCTAATACAACATTGGTTTGAATTTGGAAGTCAAAAATACAGGACAGAACATACAAACATTTGATCTAGATGGAAGTACAGACTCATCTTCTCATCCGTCGTCTATTGCAAGTCATACAACATACTTGAAGGTATATATATGTGTTAGAGGTACAAAACAATGCCGTGAGCGGCGCGCCTATGATTCGGATGGGTAAACACATCACTCTACAGAAACTCTGAAAATTCACATCGGAGCAGTCAAGGGGAGGGGACGCATAAAATCAACTGTGGTGGGGTTTTTGAATTGACCCAGAATGCATATTGATATACATGCCGCTCTGTCCAGACACAGCTAGTCGCACATACAACGAAGACATCATCGATCAGCCGGTGATGATGCCCGCCAGGACATCGGTCTTCCCTCTTGCGAATATGGTGTACACCAGGCGTATCGCGTCTAGCCAGCCGTCGAGAGACTCCCAGGTATCAGCAACCTGACACAGCGAAAACATAGAGGTGGACAATTAGTTTGAAAACCAACAACGCTTTCTAAGGCATCAGATCAAGAGGAGTTCAAGAAGAGGAGGCGCATACCAAGAACACGGGCCCATGCGTTGTGTTTATACAGAGGCCAGCGCCAGGCGGCAGCGTCAGATCGGAGCACGTGGACACTGAAACTATGTCCGCGACGTCTACCTTGATAAACCTTTTGGCTTTCTCCACGAGCGCGTTTGCTTTGACAGGTGCGCTTTCGGAATCATTGACCTTAAATTTATGATTGCAAACTCAGTAGCATAAAACAAAGATGGATCCTACCAGTGATATGAATAGACACACAAGTATGCTATGCGTTATTATCAGTAACACAACTACCTGCTGGAGTTCCGTATGGTTTAAGATGAACTGTGACCTCTCCCAATGTTTGTGTGGTGCAACGGGGTCGTCTGCCGGAGGAGCAGTCAAATATCCCACTTTCAAATATGGCAACGGTAGCTGCAAAACAAAGCATAGCAGCAAGGATGTCACAAACTCCATAATCGAGACTGACCCAACATATGCGTACTTACCAAAAAAAAATTGAAAATTAAATATAAAAAAAAAGGAAGATGAATGTTCTCCTCGGTGCTCACACACTGAGGGCATGCTCACAAATCTTACTGGAGAGGCACACTTAGAAGTTCAGAGTTTACATTCTGTAATTAGAAGAAGGCATTTCATGATTTGTGTGCTTCTATTACTACGTACTAGTTTTTATGTTCTGCTTTGTGCACAACCATGTAATCAAATCAATTGAATTTCAATAACTGTGCTCAACTTTTAGAATATGATGGATAACTCGTGGCTAGCTGGAGCAGGAGTGCTCCCAGGCACGCCCACCAGCATTTGAGTCTCAAACTCCACAGGGTGGGTGTGCACATATCTTGTTTAGAAAAAATGCCACCAGGGGCTAGTCCCCGGTTGGTCGAGTTTTGATGGATAACTCGCAAAATCAAGAATCCAGTATTCCCTTTTTTTTGACAGGGTATTCCTATTTCAAGTTAGCCCTGACACCAGCCAAATAGCAACATACAGGACATCTCAGGTTCATCTACGATCTACCGGAGCACCAACCAGTTAAATACAGAGATGGGCTGCCTAAAGGTAATACACAACACATGATACAATTGTACAGACTGTAGAGAAAAAAATAACTGAAATCTTAGAGCTGCCAACGTACCATTGACCGGACTAACCGTAGAGCACTGCGGTAAACCTGCATTAAGCAAACAACAGAATTTAAGTAGGCGTTGACAACTGTTATGCCTAAATATTAGTTAATGAGTAACCAACAAGTGGAAATTAATCTTCTAGATACATCATGCTAAAAGGCCCACAATCTTGCATATGAGAAGTACCCCTGAAAACTATAAGGTGCTACCAAAGCCCATGGGCTCACTATTGAAAACTGGAAGCGATTAAATCGGTAGACTGACATACAAGTATAACAATCAGAAAATACTGAAATTGGTGACGAGTAAACAGTTCTACATCAACAAATATAACGTTGTGGTAAGATTTTATTACAATCAAGGGCAAACAGCAAGACTTTCACAACTTAGGGAAATAAAATAAAGCTGAGTTAGAATATTTTAAGGTGCGAGATAACTGAATTGCTTACAGTGACAATGTAAAAACGCAAGCTTCCAGAAAGAACCGATAGGGAAATTAGCAGGCAGCACAGTGGCAAAAAAAGAAATCACATACCGAATAATTTGGCTTCAATGCATGAGCAGCTGCAACGTAAATAGCAGACTGACTATACAGATCATTTGGAGAGGTATCAGGACCCCCAGACCTTGAGGTATCCTCGGCCAAGCCATACTGCAGCATAAAAAGGAAACAAGAGGGCGTTGATTATTGTTACCAGAGTTCAATAAGCTAGCGTGTATTCAAATTGAAGCAGTGCTGTCCACCGTTTCAGTCACTATCAAATAGAGTAAGAAAACACACCAGGACAGTTCCAAGGTTGTAAATAGCCCGGTGGAAGTCAAACTGCAACTGGATGGCAGAACGAAACTGTGCGACAAAACAAAAGGAACTTAGTTTCAACACTTCCTTGAATATACATTTTGTGATAAAGCAATGCTCAGAAGTAATTTCCACAAAGATGGAAAGTGGAACTACCTTACTTATAGCTGTTTTTATGATTGTTTGCTTGTCTTTAGCAGGAACAATCGCGCTCAATTCCTGCATCACAAGTTTGTACCCTTGAAAATGAGTGAAAAGCAAAATGTATGGATGAAGAGTTAGTCATTTCTAATATTACAGTGCATACGCTAATGTACCTGTAGTCCAAGGCCCCAGTTGTTGAGAGCCTGCAATCAAAGAGACAGACACACAATAACTGAGGCATGAAGATTAATGGCCAATTACATAGATTTAGAGGATTGATGGAAAACAAGAAGAAATTAACTACTTCATGCAAGATCATGGAATTTGAATGTAAAAGGTCTTATTTCAGAGAACTGATCTGACATACAGAATGTAAAGCAATTTAACTTGATGTATCAAATATGAGAACTTTATGTAACTTGGGCAAAAATGGATGGAATCATTTAAACAGTGTTCTCAGAAGAGGTCGTCTAACGGAGATGTAAGCCATTGATGTTTTATCCAGGGGATGTATACAGAATCATACAGATTGACTGCTCAAAAGCAACTGTACGGACTCTCACAAGGTTTTCTCCAGTGCAACCTTATAACTGCGGTAGTGTGGAGTAATAGCAAAAAGAATATTTGTGTGATATCATATGTTTGGTGATGGTGTGCATTTATGTTGCTGGTATTCGTGATGAATATTGTTCGCACCATATTCCAATTGTTTCCTACGGTGAACTTTCTACCACGTTATTTAAAACACTTCAAAATTAGGAGAAGCATTTATTATTTTCCATAAATCAGTCAAGAGAGTCAGTTCTCACCTGGGGGCTGTTCCAACTTAACTGGACTGCCTTGTCGTAGTTCCTTATAGCCTGAAAAGGAAGAAAACAATGAGTATATAGTAACTCATCAAAATCCAGCATTTGAACAATATAGTATTTTTTTAATGTGGAAAAAAAATGACCAGGCCATTTTTTCAACGTAATGGTAAAATCGGGAATGTTATCAATCAGTTAAGAAGCACGCCCTTATTCTTAAGAAAGAATAATATGCAGCAAGAAGGAAATGGTAAGGGACTAAATATTATATTTTACTTAACGCTGGGAGTTGCAAACTTGATTTCTAGACTACTACTATTTGACAGAGTAACTATGTAATCAAGAATTTTAAATAAATATTATTAGTTCGTAAGTTCAGTTAGCGACACTAGGAAATAGCATTGCCCCTTTTCTACTGACAATCTGAACAACACCAAAACTGGAACAGTGGATGTGACCTTGAAATATAACAGAACAGGGGATTCGAACCTTTTGCCCTTTGGTCTAGCATAGTAAAAACAGAACCATCACGGAATGCAAGCAAACTTTATTAGCATTGTTATTACCTGCTGCCAGAGTTCTTCAGCCTCTTTGGTACGCCCACGCATTTTGGCCCGATCAGCTATAGCAATAGCCCAGTTATAATATGCCTAAAAGGATAAGAAAGAGGCATGAGAAGTTGAGAACTGTTATGTTTTTCAGCAGAGTAGCAAGTTAGCATGAGGCATAAATGCATAAATGATATTCATGTGCGTCTCATTGATTTTCTTTGGTACAAAATTAGTGGTCCATGCCAAGGCACTATGGTACCAATTCTCTTTGGTATAACAAGGCAAAAATCTGAACAATTTCCAATATAGTCCAGAACATGAACCAATAAACTCGGAGTGGTGAACTTACATCATACAGTGTTGGGCAAAGTCGTGTAGCTTCAGCATACTTCTTGCAAGCCTCCTCAAGTAATGAATCTTTCGAAGAATCAGAATTAGGATCCACGTTGTCTGCACTTTCCTGCAAACATATTTGAAAAGGTTAAAATATTTCCCTCGCAATGTTCATTTTACTAGCATGCTTTAAGCAACAGAATAAACGAAGGCCTGCAAAGGTCATCTTCAAGTAACGTACGAGCCGGTGTGTACTGCAAATAAGGAATGCACTTTTACCTGGAGAACTAGGGCCCAGTTATAATATGCATCAGGGTCTTCTGGATTTCTTTCAATGGCGCTAATATATCTGCAAAACATACCGTTAGAAAACATGCAAAGTTTGAGCTAATTATAATATTACTACAAGATTGGGTTAATCAGGTGAGTAAAACCAAAACCTTTTCGCTGCAAAGGTAAGAATACGTTGGCGAGAGCGACCTTCCTCATCAACTCCAGTGACACTATTTATCAAGTCCATGGCAACATCATGATGGGTTGAGAGCTGCAGGCTGTCCTGGCTGAAATGGAAAAATGGAAGAGTTCTATAACTTGTGTTTATCATAGCTAATTCAAGAATATGTCAATAACCGAATGCTTAAATGTTATACTCTATTATTTCCCTTTTGGCAGAAGATAAATTGGCAGTGCCAGCTGTTAAGAAGGCAACTTGTAGTCACATGAGGCCATGGGCCAATATATACACGTACTGGACTGGCCTAATATATGGAAAATTGGAAACTAAAGACTCCCTCTGTAAACTAATATAAGAGCGTTTAGATCACTACTTTAGTCAAGCATCCACAGTATATTAAGTTGGCGCTACTACAGGCTTGCAGTGCGGCAGCCCCCTGCGCCACGAAACTCCATCCGTTTCATTTTCTCCCCCCAC